TCGATAGTGTATATTGATGATATTGTTGTGACAGGGCATTGAGGATCTTAAATCTTAAGCAAGGTGTTCGATATCAAAGATTTAGGACCTCTTAAGTAATTTTTGGGAATTGAAGTGGCGATCAAAGGAAGAGATAGTCGTCTCCCAGAGAAAATACTTGTTGGACTTGTTACAACTAACGGGGATGTTGGGATCTCGACCAGTAAATACTCCTATAGAAGTCAATCATAAACTTCATAGAGAAAGGGTAGAGAAAGGGAAGAGTTACTCAAATATCCTAATCAGTATCAATGAATTGTGGGCAAGCTTATACGCCTCACGATCACTCAACCAAACCTCTCTTATGATGTTAGTGTGGTCAGCTATTATGCATGCACCATGAAAATCACACCTTGATGCAATGTACAAAATATTAAGATACCTCTAAGTCTACACCAGGGAAACATATATTTTTCTCCAATCAAGGACATCCTGGTGTTCCAGTTTACATTGATGCTGATTGAGCTGGTTGGCAAACTGATAGAAGATCCACTTCATTTTGAAAAACCTGGTTACTTGGAAAAGCAAAAAATAAAATGTGGTAGCAAGATCAAGTGCTGAAGTAGACTACAAGATAATGATTCATGGTACATATGAAGTAATGTGGATCACAAGTATTCTTTTTGAATTGGGGGTTAGGCTTCCCATGACTCTGTATTGTGACAATGAAGCAGTTATTCATATCATAGAAAATCCTGTATTTCTTGAAGCTGTTGGACGGGACATATTACATGATATCACAAGCAAGCTGGGCTTGATTGATATCTATGCACCAACTTGAGGGGGCCTTGTGGGAAATATTAGTTAAGCTTGATTGTATTTGATGGGCACAATGGTTTTTATCTTTTGTTTGGGACCTATTTTTCTTATTTCTCTAAGCAAGGACAGTATTGTCCATTGTTTAATAAGAGGTGTGGTGGTCACAATAGACCACCACCCCACTCTCTTTCCCTCTTTCTCTCTATCTCTCACACGTCTCTCTCTGTGTCTTCTCTCTGCTTCTTCATCTTTAGGTTCTTTACTCTCTTTCTCTCTTTAGGTCCTAAGTAATTGTTTTTTTCTCTCCTTTAATTTCAACTAATGCAACCTAGGACTTGTCCTTTTACTACCACAACAAATAAACACAACCCAAAAACAACCTATGAACGTTTTGGCAGATTGCGACCATTCTAAGTAATTTGTCCCATCTAGCTTATTTGTTGTGATCATCAATCCTGGGTGGTCAGATTGACTGCTTCCCAAGGGACTGTTGTGCTTGATTTTTTGACATTATCCTTCTCTCTCTAACTCCAAACCCTATGCTTTGGGCAAGAAAGCTATGGAATAGGTATGGAATGTACTTGTGTAATTTTTGTGTGGGATAAGTCAAAGACTATTTTTGTTTTTCTTGGAAAGGGTTTAGGATAAAAGTTACTTTCGGCAAAGGAAAGTGGGAAGATAATCTTACTTGAAATATGAGGTTGCTGATATACAACAACTTCAAGTCCAAGAAGGAAGAAAAGTCATGATTCTATGACTGTTGTAAGTAAGGATATCCGTGGGTTTCAAGCCCTGCTCTGATACCATGTAAGATTGAGAGATAAATGGTAATATTCAAGCCCAAGATAAAGTAAATACATATGATTTTCACATTATAAATCATAGGGCAATGTACCTTATATATTCACAAATTGCTATGTATGGGTATGTGATGCAGGGAGAAATAATAATAGGGAAATAAAAATAAAATAAAAAGGATTTTGAGAGATTATACTCGCTCTCTGGGTTTGCAAGGGAGTCCACCCCAAGATCTTTTCATTAGATCAAACTCTTTACTCAATCACCAATAATCTTAGTTTACCAAAAAGGGACATCCTCCCTATAAATACACTTGCAAGAATAAATAAATAAATAGACAAGAACCTACAAACAAAAATTGGTCTCTCTCTTTCCTTTTCTACAATTTTTTTCCTATCTTCTCTCTCCCCACGTGAATCTCTATTCCTCTCTATCTTCTCAAGTAAATCTCCCTAAATCTCTACCAAATAATCCCTTGAGATTTAGGAAATAACCAACTTGACTTCTCCTTATCCTCACACAGCACCTCCTCCCATATCTTTAACCGCATGATAAGCTTCCCAAAAATAAAACATCTTAAAATTCCAAATTAAATATCCTTTATAACCCTCAAATCTATACATCGAAAAAAAAAAAAATAACCCTAAAAAAAAAAAAAACCATCCTAAATCTAAAAATCTGACAATATCTAACGATAGTAAAATTAAAAAAAACTAATTGTATCATTCTTTTGTGGTTGGAAGGAGTTCCACCTTGAGCTTACATCCTTTAGAGGCCAATCGAATAATTGGTGTTGTAGTCCTACCATGCTTCCCGGTACTGTCTTTTTTAATGAACCAACTGAGCAGAGACACTTGGAGTGCAATTTGTAGAGGGATTTTAAACTACCAAACTCTAGAGTACCATACTGAATCTTGAATTATCAAAGGGTTGTATTTCACGTACTGCAACTAGTATATTTTCTTTTTCATAATTGTCCACATCTTTTGCACTGAGAGTTACCTCTTCATGTACTTCTTTCCTCCATTACAATGTATGAAATAGATCTAGTAGACCTTGTTGTATTATTTTACTAATACATTCTACTAAGTCTTCTTCGAGTCTCTCAAATTTTTGATCCAATCACTCAAATATTTGATCTAGATGCTCCATAACTAAATCATTAGTTATTTGTGATCAGCATGGATCTTAATGCTCTGATATCAACTGATGCAGGGAAAAAATAACAAACTATAAAAATAAAAATATAAAAGTTTGAGAGATTATACCCTCTCTCTAGATCTGAAAGGGAGTCCGCCCCAAGATATTTTCACAAGATCAAACTCTTTACTCAATCACCAATAATCTTAGTTTACATAAAAGAGACATCTTTCCTTTAAATACACTTAACAAGAAAAAATAAGTAAATAAATAAAAACCTACAAGCAAAAATAACTTTATCTCTCTCTCTCTCTCTTTCCTACAATTTTCTCTCCCTATCTTCTCTCTCCCAACGTGAATCTCTATTTCTCCCTATCTTCTCAAGTAAAACACCCTAAAATCTCTACCAAATAATATTGCCTTAGATTTAGGAAATAACTAACTTGGTTTCTCCTTATCCTCACGCACCACCTCCTCCCATATCTCTAACCACATGATATGCTTCCCAAAAACAAAACAAGAAACCTAAAATTCTAAATTAAATATCCTTTATAACCCTCAAATCTTTACAGCAAAAAAAATACTAAAATAACCCTAAAGAAAATAAAAACCCAACCGTTGAACATAAAGAAAATAAAATAAAAAAAAACCCTAAAGAAAATAAAAAAACCACTGCATCTGTATGTCAACATGCAAAAGAATTACAACCATTATAGTACGAGATACAACAACTATTGCAGCAAGTTCTAATGGGCATGAGATCCATTATTCACAGGAGTTGCACGTTTTAGTGGGTGTCAGCCCATAACAACCACTACATGAGGTCCATTATGCATAGGAGTTACAGCTGTTACACTAGTTTCATTGGGCATGACCCTCGTAACAGTTGCTGCACTAATAAAGGACAATTTCCAGATGCTTGTTGCTGATAAAAAGTTGAATTTTAGGAAGGTTCGATACAAAGAGAAACAAGACAAGAAAATTTTCTTTTGAGAGGGAATATAATATATATTAAGTAGACATATATATCACTATTTCTATTGGATAAATATCGTATTTCAAGGTATTATTCTACATCTCTTGACTTCTTCAAACCCTTTTTTTTGTAAATCTCTCTTAATTCTTCCTCAAGTGCTAATTTCTTTTCTCAAGCGCTAAGCATTGCATGTGCCGTGTCTTTTAGTAATGACCTTTTTAGGATTTTATTTCTTGGGATCCTGTGAAAGAGAGAGGTATAAGTATTACATTTCCTAACATGGATTGGTGTTTGGTTTCCTTGTATTTTGGGGCTGGAGACTCTATGATGATCCCTACATTGATTTGGTTTCTTTAATTTAAGCTGAGTTTCCTTTTTCCCATTTTAATTATTTTATATTTTAAAATAACTGTTCTATAGATTGTGGAAGCGTAGATTAAGTTGTACCCTCTAGGGTACGTACAAAGAGAGACATACAATTCAAATTGAGAATAAACAAAACAAAAAATGTCACTTGGGGAGAGGGAGATAGTCTTATGTAAGGATGATGAGGGAGGTGCATGTAGGTCATGGAGCTATCAGTATGTTAAGGATATATAAAGAGCTTTGGTCTTCTTCCTCTTTGGCTAGTACAATATGCCTCTCGATCATGGAAAAGTTTATCCAATGGAGCTACTCAGGGAGAGAAGTTCCTCTATGTTCTCCCAATCACCAATGGGGGTTCTCTTGATACCCAGAGAATGCCATTAAGAGTCACCCTTAACTACGAGAGCTGCTGAAAAGGAACCATGTAGAGCCTCAAACCTGTCAAGAAAGGGTGCCTCTGCATTGCAGAAATCCCAGTCGCTCCAGAAATTGATATGCAGAGCTCCTCATGAGCCTCTAAACATGATGCCAACACCCCTGATATCCTCTCTCTCTCTACAACCTGCACCACATTTATATCATTATACCTTTCTCTCCCTCCATAGTTCCATCCATCTCTGAATCTAGGAAGCTCCTACACCTCCTTTCTCCATCATCTTCTTTCATCAACCCTTGTCCACCAAACCCTAGATCTGCTTCATTAGCCATCCCCTTGGTTCTACATCAATTCCTTTGTCTATGGAAGTTGGTTCTAGGTCCTGCAATGCAAACGGCTACGGCTTCTATAATATAACTACCCTTTCATCTGAACCCTCTATTTCTCTCAGAAAACAATTTCTACCTTTTTTTGCATTCTCCCTTCTAATAAAAATGTTAGGTCTGCTGTTGATGAACGTAAATCTTTTCATTTATTTATCTTCAGACGTTGATGGAAAACAAGCTTTTGCTGTACATTGGGAGCCACCTCCTGAGGATGTGTATGTATGGAAAAACGAGCGCCCCAAGACGCCATCGTCACTTCGTATATATGAGTGCCATGTAGGAATTAGTGGTTCTGAACCCAAAGTTAATTCTTTCGCTGAGTTCTCCTCTAAGGTATGCTCCTCCCCTTCTCTCCCTCTGTCATGCTCCTTTTTCTCATTTTTTGGTTTTGTTTTGGTTGTTACTTCTTTTTACAGTGTATAACCTATAGTTCTCTTTTATAGGTCCTTCCACACATTAAAACTGCTGGTTATAATGCAATTCAGCTAATTGGGATACCGGAGCACAAAGACTATTCTTCTGTTGGTTATAAGGTGAATTTATTTGGTGTTTTTTTATTGCATCACTACACTTTTTTATATGATCTAGTTCTGTGCTCCTTTAATCAGTGTTTGAAGCAAGCTCCAAATGCCTTCATGTTCTATATGCATTCTATGCTTATCAGAAAATATTTATTTGCATTATTTTGGAAGGTTTGAAGTCAACACTCACATTGTTTTTGTTTCTTTCCACTTCTTGTTCAGTGGGTCACGGTTCTGTATATCATCCTATTGATTACTCCCAAACTGCATATTTCATTATTTAAAAGAGTGCTGTCAAAACTCCCTTAATAGCATCTTGTCAGATGTGTGCTATGCAAAGAGATCTCTATGGTGAAAGGAATGCACCATAGAGCTCCATGATATTGCCAAATAATGTGGTGTCAACACTTACAGATACAGACCATACCTCTTATGTCAGAGTTGGATCAAATGTATAGTAAAGGGGCAGTACAATGGAATAATTGTGCTCCAAGTGGGTGTGCAGAAACCTTTGGTGGGGCAGTTTGAAAGGTGGTTCTGCAAGAGGGCAGCCAATTCCAGTCTTGGTACTTCACTACTTCTTGTTATTTGCTTGTTGTACCTTTGAAACTCAATTAAATCACCAACTTTCATCCCTTGAACTCATAATAGTTTCTTGATCCTAAAAGATTCTTGATTTATTATTAGATGATGAGCTTAGAATTCTTAACTCTCCTTGTACTGGATTATTCTTATCGTGTTATATTTTATAGAAAATCTTGGTGAGTCCTCTGAACAACAGGTCTTGACGATATTTCTGCCTCTCCGAAGTGTTTCTATCAGTTGATTTTGTGAGTTTCTGCCCTGTGAGAGAGAGAGAGAGAGAGAGAGAGAGAGAGAGAGAGAGAGAATTTCATAGCAAGAAATTCAGTTTCTGGCTTCTATTTTGAATGTTTAGGCTCCATATGGATTTGGTTGATTAGTCAACCATCAACTTATGGATCTGGTTGATTAGTCAACCATCATTGTATCCATCTTGTTTGGAACCCCAATAAATTCCTCATTGTAAATGCCCAGGAATAATTTATATTTTTGGACAATGTAGGAACTTTAACAGAAGTAGAACTGGAGTCTATATCTTTTATTGGAAAGTTTAAAATTTTTAAATTATAAATGAAAAATGAACTTTTTGTATGTTTCATTTCTTTTCCTCAAAATTTCAAACAATTCTTTAGAACGATTTATAAACTCTTACGATGAAGTGACATGAGGCAAATTGCTATTCAACAAATGAATTGATAGATTCTTGAAAAGAGATGAGAAATTTTTTGAAATAGGGTGGTCATATTTTAGGCTCATATGACCAAGTAGCCTAAAAGAAGATTTTTGTGATTCGTTTTTATGGGGTAGTCACAGTTGAGGCTCTTATGATTAAGGAGCAGAGAAGAAGATTTTGAAAATAGAGGGAAATTTTAAAAAATAGCGTGGTCATAGTTTAGGCTTTTTTCGATCAAGGAACCATGAAAGAAGATTTTGAAAATAGAGAGAAATTTGAAAAAAAATCAAATGGTTGTAGTTTAGGCTCATATGACCAAGGAGCCTAAAAGGAGATTTTAAAAATAGAGAGATTTTAAAAATAGAATGGTCGTAGTTTAGGCTCATATGACCAAGTTGCCTTGAGAAATTTTGAAATATAGGGAGGAATTTTAAAATAGGATGGTTGTAGTTTAGGCTCATACAACCAAGCACGAATTTCAAATTGGTATGTTTAACACAAGCATGAAAATTATCACGTTAAATATTTTGTGAAGTTAGAATCCGAATGCCATACGATGGTATGCATGTCTAATAAAGTAAAGCAGTAAACTGGCTCAATGGTATTGCAGCTTCTATCTTGTTGTCACATACCCAAAGAAAAGGTTCACACGAGTCCTGTCTATATTGCCATGAATCAAAGAAATCTTCACAATTTCGGAACAAGTGAACCGTCAATACCTAGCCAAACCATTCCAAGCTGTTGCAGGCCTGTGTAAATAAACTCAAAGATAATGCATTTATAGTTTTCAAAAAAATGCATTTCTCTCAAAGACAATGCATTTCTTTAAAAAAACAATGTATTTGTAGTTTTCCAATAATGTTTGATCTACGTGGAAGTTTGCCAAGAAGTAGTCTTCTAAGATTGAGAGGAGCTGTAGTGCCTAAGGGTTTGTAAGATTTTTTTTTTTGATAATGTTAACGTTTGTATTGCTGAGAAAGGGAAGTACAAAGTTTTGTAGCTCTGGGCGAACCCACTAGACGGGACCCGGTTAAAAAAGGACAAAAACCCCCTGTACAGTAAAGACTTTTCCCCCCTCTAAAAGATATACAAAAAGAAGAGACAAGGAAAGGACTTATAACAATGCCTCCCTTCTGTAGTACAATGAGTATGAGAGCTAAAAAAGGCCCACAAAATTACAAGGGGTTCACTGGTCTAAAGCAAAAAAGAAAGTGGAACCAGTGTGAGCTGCCTCGTCTTGTCTTCTAGCACCCTCCTTTGCCAGCCGGTCCGCGAAGTCATTGGACATCCGCCAGGTATGCTGCCTTGAGGCGTCCATAGCCTTGCAGATTTGTTGAACTTCGTCAAACACTTGTAACAAGCACCAAGGAGGATCACAAGTCCTACCGGCCCAAGAGATGACATTCTTGGAATCACCCTCCACTATCAAGTTTGAGCCCAATTTTTTGAGGGCAATGAGGAGGGCTGAGGCTTCCGCAAAGTTAAGAGTCTCTGAAGACGAGGTATTCGGAGAAGGTGAGGAGGATATTGCCTTCAAAGTCTCGGAAAACATCACCACCCCTGCTGGGCCGGGGTTCCCCAAGCAGCGCCCATCAAAATTAAGCTTGATGCTACCTTAGCTCGGTGGTAACCAGAGACTTGGCCTAGCTGCTCGTGGTGGTTGGTGAAGAAGGATATTTCAACCAGGAATATCGGCAAAGAACTTCAAGTTGGCTGCCCAAAAGGTCACCAGGGTGATAACCTTTTGAAAGATGGTCGAAATAGAAAGCTTTGTCCGTCGAAAATTCTGAAGTTTCTTTCCAACCAAAGTAGCCCAGTGGTAGCAGCTAAGGTTGCTTTCCACAGGATTCTACTAGCCTTTGGCCGGCTTGATTCAAGGTTGGAGGACATGAGGGCTGTTACCGAGGGTGGGGTAACCCATTGTATGCCAAAAAGTTGTAAAACCTTGCCCCATAGGTCTGATGAGAATGCACAAAGCAAGAACAAATGGGGATTTGTTTCCTCCTCGCAATCACACAAGACATACCTATTCGGAATGGGCACTCCTCTTCTTTGAAGTTGGTCAACTGTGAGGGCTTTACTAGAGAATGCGAGCCAGTTGAAGGCCTGAACTTTGGGTGGTGCAATAGTGGATCAAAATCTAGAAAAGTTTTCGGATGGGGGGGGAAAGGAGAGGTTTTTGTAGAGTGAAGCCACTGAGAAGTTACCTGAGGGGGTTAAGGTCCAAATGATTTCATCATTTCCTTGTGAAGAGAAATAGAGAGGGGGCAGAGAGTTCAGAAGTCGCTGGAAATCAACAGTCTCAACCTCGTTCAAGCTTCTTCTAAAGGAAGGATTCCAAACTCTGCGGCCTCCCAGGATGCAAAACTCTTGTGCTATAGAGGACTATTGGTTTCGAGCAAGAGCGAAGAGAGTTGGGAAGGCCTCACGGAGGGGAGATGTCCCTAACCATGGATCAAGCCAAAATTTAACTCTCGTCCCTTCTCTTGGGTGGGACCTAATGTGTCTCTTAAAAGAAGACAGGACAGTCAAGAGTGACTTCCATGCCCCTGAGGTATTATGGGCTTGAAGTCTTTCAGGGAGTCAATTCTCAGGTGGGGTCTTGTATTTGTGTTTTAAGACCTGCGCCCAAAGGGCGTTCGGCTGAGTGGCTAAGCGCCACCACCATTTCCCAAGTAACGCTTCATTATGCTAGTGCAGTACCTTTATCCAAAGACCACCCTGCTCTTTTGGTTGGCAAACCTTATTCTAGGCCACCAAGTGGTACCTCTTCTTGTCTTCCTGCCCAGACTAGAGGAAATTCCTCATGAGTTGGTTCAGCGATTTGCCACCTGAGCAGGCATTTGGTAAAGGGACATGAGGTAGATTGAGGAGTTCGCTAAGGTGGTTTTTATCAAGGTGGTTCTTCCTGCAAAGGAAAGGTATCTACCCTTCCACTCGGCCAATCTATGATCTACCTTGTCCAGCACAGGGGACCAAAGCTGCTTTCTAGGTTTATTGACACCCAAGGGAAGGCCAAGGTAGGCAGTAGGCAAGTTTTGGACTTTACAATCCTAGTTTGAAATGAGATCCCCAATTTGGCCAAGTGATAAAGCTACCCCCAACATGCGAGATTTTTCCATGTTAATCTTGAACCAGCAGCTGATTGGAAATAGCTAAGGAAAATCTTAAGGTTTTTTACGTCACTAGCTGTAGCATCCAGAAAAACGAAAGTGTCGTCCACCTACTGTAAGTGAGTGATAGTGACTCCCCTGTCTACTAGATTTAAAACCTGTGATAACGCCAACTTGGTAGACCCGAGCAAAGGACCGGCTAAAAACTTTAGCCGCTATATCGAAGAGGAAAGGAGAGAGGGGATATCCTTCCCTGAGACCCCTAGATGAGGGGAAGTAGCCTACAAGGGCTCCATTAATGAGGATGGAAAAGTGAGGGTTCGAGTAACAACCCCTCATCCAATTCCTCCATCTCTCCCCAAAGCCCATTCTGGCCATAGTCGCATCCAAAATTGACCAATCCACATGGTCGTATGCCTTCTCCCAGTCAATTTTAAAGATGAGGCATAGTTGTTTTGATATGTGTCTAGAATGAACACATTCATGGGCCACCAGAGCCCCATCCAAAATTTGTCTACCTTTGACATGGGCAGATTGACAGTGAGAAATGATAGAAGGCAAAAACATGTTGCAGTCTAGACGCTAAAACCTTTGCCAGGATCTTGTAGGAGGAGTTGAGGAGACTGATAGGCCGAAAGTCTTTA